TATTTATATACATATATATACACACACACATTCACACACAGCTGTAGCGGTGTATCTATGCGTACATAAGTACATCTGCATGTTTATGGGTATGTGGGCAGATGGGTAGATAGGTAGATAGATAGATAGCGAGCAAGCGTGGTATAGGTAGACGACGCAACAGCCCACTCACTCACAAGCACCATCGATGTACTACGCATGCATGAAACACAAAGTTGTGCAACCCGATTAGCCCGAAGCATGGCGGGCATGTGCGGACGGTGTGTCTGATGCAGAAACTTGCAAGAAAGAGACCTTTGCGGGTTGAAGCTCTTTATCACAGGGGGAAGTGCTAAAGAATGGTGCTCATTGACGGGCTCTCTCGGCTGACTCCACTCATGTGCAAGAATTTGAAATCTTCTCCGGAGATGGGCACATCGCTCAGGTGGTCAGATGCTAGACTATCTGCAAGGGCAGGCAAGCTATTGAATTGCACTCGAAGTTTCTATCTTTCTACCTCAATGTGGGACCTGTGGGTGTCAACGACCGATGTCAGAACATCGCGGCTTGATGAGACCACTGACTACACTAATCCGACGACCAGGAGTTGAGCCGAGTACGGCAACAAAGTACTACTGTGCAAGCCAGGGATTTGTTCGTCTGGGCTTCGTTGGAAGGGATGTCTGTGCTCGGGGTTGAAGGATCCAGAGAGTCCTCACGAGAGAAATTCGTAGGGCGCTTGGATTTCCAAACCGCATTAAGTAGAATTGAACACGCATGTGATGCAATGATGCTGCATTCGCTTCTCTGCACCCTATTTATCTACCTAACCTGTCTATGTATCCATCTAAATATGAATCAGCACCTGATGCTTACAAAAAAGATATCCCAGGCCCGGCCGAGACCTTAGAACTTTGGGGCCTTCCAGTGGGCCATGAGCTCCTCGCGATGCATGGGGCCTGAGCTCCACCCAGGATCGCAGGCACCGTAATTCAAGTAACCGTCATAGCACTGAAGGATGCAATAATATCTACAACGATCCGGAACGGATACCAGCAGTAATGTGGAACAACCGGACTGCAAACCTATGGATATCAAGCCGGTGTAGTCTCACCAAGTGTTGCTTCTTGCGTGACATGACGTAGTCTCTTGCATGTGGATGTGAAAGTGCCCAAAATCAAAGTAACAGTTCCATGCAGCTAACCACAGGCACCCCGCACAATACGATTCGACAACACTTGGGCAAATCGACTTGCAACCACCGGTGTGTCCTCTCTAAACTTTCTTGCATCGGGTGTTGCACTAAGGATTGCAAGCATAGCATGCATGATCATGATTCGGGTCAAAAACATCTGAGTATGATACCACCTCAGCCTCTCCAAAATCCTGAAGCTTTAGATCCACCTCACAATTCCCAAAACCTCACAGCCCTCAAGCATTTCGAATTCGAGCGTCCCCAACCAAGCAGAAGTAACTTTTGGGGTGGGCGTTCCGGGTATGCTCTGCATGAGAAGCCTTGCAGGTGGGCACTGCGGGGATGATCTGCCGGGTACTCCTGGGGTCAGGTTCGGTGTGATGGTCTGTAGAATGCTTTGGTGAGGCTGTTGTCACCGCAGGAATGCTTGGCAGGCACCTCTGTTGCCCTCCAGGGATGCTCTGTGTGGGATATACTTCTGGCATTGAAAGTCTCCCCTGCGCCGAGCTCTGCGCCAAATGGTCCGGCAAAGAGAGCCGCAGCCGAAGTTAGGAGTGTGTCGCCAGGCAGGGCAGCGAGCTGCCGGGAGAGCTCCTCAAGCAGGGGCTTGAGGAATCATTTCTAAAGCAAGGCAGGATTCGTGCTTATTGCTGCAGGATTGGCCTTCGCGCTGCAAGGTGCATCTTCTCAATTGCAAGTGCGAGTTCTCTGTCTGTGCTGCTTCCGCCTGGAGGCGCAAGGTCGGGTTCCACTTACTTGCGTTGTACCCGAAACACCTGGTGACTGCCATACTACAAGAAGTAAGTGCAATAACGATGCTGCTGTGGGAAAATTGAGACATAATGAGAATCACCTTCAAGATTAGGACGAGAAATACAAGTATTTATCAACAACAGCCAAGCGTGGAAACCGAGACCACAGCGACAACGGCAGTTGACAAGAAAAAAGCTGCTGGCTCCCTCCACTGAGACTTTAATGGCAGTCTGCAGTCTAGCATGCAGAGACTGAATATTTCATTCCAGTGGTACCACCGTTCAGCAAAGGGGAATGGGTTCACAATCCCCCAATGCAGCTCTCAGAAGCAGCGTCATTTTTTGTCAAAAATGCGTACACCAAACCACAACAATTTTAACCGTCGATATCAAAGGACTACGAAAACCCTAGGGAGGAAAGTCAGCGATGCCACCCCGTCCTGCAAGCTCCAACCCCATCTGATGCGATCCTTGGGCGGCAACACGGGAGAAATACGTGACAACTATTGCTCGCGAGGGTCTGGATACCCCGTAATCTTAACTGACGCAAGTAAGGAGAACAACCCTACTGAACCAAATGATGATCGGCTCCTAGCTGAGAATAGCTCAAAATCTTAGGTGCCAGCATGACGAAGGCCTTGGCTCATAAGCCTGTGCCAGGATGCATGAGGGCGAATGTGTGGGGAAGCAGGGCGACACCCAGAGATGTAGCAAAGTACTTGGAAGCCCATGGGGCCCCTTTGCTTGCGATATACCTCTTCCCCACGCGCTTCACAACTCTCACGCGTACATGTCAATGTTGCGTTCCAAAAGCGCAAAACATGATGCCGCGGGACGCTTCATCGACAAACGACGCACTCTTGGAGCCGTGTGCTCACATAACCTATGCCCGAAGCCCTAGAACCCTTGAGACCATCTGAAATGCTAAGCCTCCCTAAGACCTACAAACCCGAAACCCCCCGGAAGCCGCGGGCCCCATCCGCGTCTTCTGCTCCACTGCATTGGACGCGAGGCCCTCGCAGGTCTCCATCTCCTCGAAGGCTCGGCGATCTTGCCCAAAGCCACTCTCCGCAGACTCTCTGCTCTCTCTGCTCCTGCTGCAACTTCTGGGCCTCTGCCTGCATCTCACGGCGGCCCAGGGAGTGATCTTATCGTGCGTTTCTTTGTTGATGAAGACAGGCACAGTACCCATGATACGGGAATACCAGGCTCCGGGAACTCTTCCTAGCGGCTTTCTATCGCATCACACGAGACGCGACCTGACAGTGGCTCAGGCTTCCCAGACTTCCAAGTCTTGTAAGCTTCAATCCGGAACCACAAACAGTAACCTCCAAACGGGGCCACACCCTCCCTTTGTTCTATCCTGGATCATAAACGTCGCGCTTTTCCTCTGCTCTGCTGTGCCTAAGGCTGACAGCTGCTGAGAGCAACACACATTCGGGAGGACAGTGAGCTGGCGAAAGCAGGTCATAAGTGCTTGCGGCTTGAGTCGCGTACGGCAACTCAGCACATATTTGCGGATATATCGGGCATCGCGATGGGTTTCCCGGGAAGTTTGGGGTCTAGGTGATTCGGCACATCGCATTTAGGGCCTTTAGGGGGCAGGCAGGGCCTAGCTCATTCGCCTCCCTCATCGAGACTTTTTAAAAGAACGATGAGCACGTTATCCGATGCCCGAGGACTGGGTTCTATACCAAAGCGGATGCTAAGATGCAGCAACGACATCGAGAACTTGCAAAATATGGCATCCAAATGCATGGCTCTCTTGTTTAGACGGTTTGGACTGGATCGGGCCTCCGGCACTCCATTCGGGGTGCTGGTGAGCATACTTCTACAATTGGACAAGCCCGTGGGGAACAAGGCCAAGGTCAGGGACAGACCTCGTGACTCTTGGCTCTGCCAAAATCACGAAGGCAGCGGTGTGCCGAATTGAAGCGACTGTCTCCTGCTCCTCTTTGCTTCTCAACTGGCTCAAGGCTTGTAGTCTTCAAGGACGCTGAACCTGAGCAAGAGAGAATTTTTGATGACAACTTTCCAGGTCGTCCAATGCTGCAGGAGGGAGGAGAGGCACCATTGATACAGTGTCTAGTCGCTCGTCGAAGGAAATGTTCCCGTCATCCGTGTTGTCCAGCAGCCTGCTGCGGACAATGTCAAAAGTCCTAGCGTGCATGACAAGATGTAAAAAGAAGTAGATAGTTGTTGCAGCAATTCTTTTAGCATCCTGCCACAGTGCAGGCACCAGCAATTCATTCATCTGTAATTAAATCTGAGTGCTTGCAGAGCGAGAGACAAGCTTTGGTGCCCAGCCCCAAGGACATACACCACTCCCCCCCCCGCACCACATGGTCCCCTGCCCACCCCCACCCCGTGGGGTGGGGCCTGTGGCGGTACCCTTCGTCCCTGTATCCCCACCCCGCCCCTGCCCCCCTTTAGCTGAGGCTTTGGTTGGCCTGAATTAGAATTAGAATCACCGTTCATGTCAACAACTGCATCCACGATGGTCGCGCGGCCCGCGTTCGCCGCTCTTGAAGTTCTTATGTGTCACTCTTTATCTTGCTTCTTGCTGTGGCACCGGTGGTACTGCTCATGATGTTGTGCTGCTCTACACGGCGACGCGAATCGACAATCAGACATCATGCTCTACAAGGGGGGTTTGCAGCTAATATAGGGTTGTATGAGGGCTTCAGTAGGGTTTATCTGGGCTTTCCAGGATTGACCAAGGCTTTGTTCTAGTGTGTTCTCGAAGGCCTGGGACGGCGGGGTTCAACTCAAGGCTTTTCCTGATTGGCTGTACGAGCGCTACCTGTGCTTATTCGAGTTTGGAGGGGTTCAAGTCAAAGTTTCGCATGATTGGTACTAACTTAAGACGAATATTTACAATGGTTATGTTGCTTGGCAATGTGATTAGTAACTAACTAACTATAACACACACATACACACACACACACACGGACACGGACGGATGGATAATCACAGAGCCGTGGAAAGGGCTGTCCGTTCCACACAGGGGGATGAAATGCATCATGATCACTGTACACTTGTAGATGACATGAATCATGTGGCGGGGAAGGGCTCATGGATGCAGAAAAACCACAGACCCATGCCCGCAGGAGAAGGAAGGATCTCCCGTTCCACAGGGGGAACATATATCGTTATGCCTTTGTTAATTGTATATAATTAAACTGAACCATGAGGGGGGGGGGTAGCGCCCTCAGGGGCGCAACCATGTATAGTCAACTATTGGATTAGGTCATGGACGCAAAGACTCCGAAAGCGTTCAAGACGAGCACTAGATCAATCTTTTGCTGAAAATTGAACTCCAAAGCTCTGATGCCTCCACACGCCCTGAGCGAAGCCGAAGTATCTGGAGGGTTACTGCGAGGCCGTAAGTCGCTTGACTTGTAGTTACCAGGAGTTTAAGCTCTACTTTCTCCTTGCAGTGGAACCCCCCAAACGCCATGGCCGAGGCGCGCAAAGACAACGCGCACTGGCCCGAAGTAGCCTTTCTTCTTCAGAGCCTGGAAATGTATAGGATTATTATGTTTTCCATGAGTTTATTTCGAGTGGTCTAACAAGGACCCTAAGGATGCTTATGCTGTCAAATCATGATTGGTATCGCTTTGCTGGTGGTATCGCCAACATGCTTGTAGGTGCTGCAAGCACTCAAACCCTACAGTATGCCGTCTTTGCCAAACGTTCGTAACTGGTGGCTCTTGCCTTGAGTCCTCAACCCGTCAAGATCTGTCAAAGTAGCTACAGACCAGACCCATGAGGCCTCATCGAACTCTTGCTCTGTCAGCTCGCCACTGCCGTCGTCATCCAACGCTTCCCACGCATCCTCCAGATGCGGGAATTCTGCGCTCGACAAACGTAGTGAGCTTGGTCTAGTGAACACACAGAAATCATGTGTGGTAGTCTCGTTCTCTGTTTCGGAGGAGCGGAGAGGAAGCGGTCATATCTCACAGAACCGCACAGAAAGGAGCGAGGTGCGTTGTCGGCACTTGCTCATGAACGTGCAAAAGCTGAGACTGCTGACGGAGGGTCAGGCTCTCCTGAGCCATAGGTAACACTCAGCTCATACCAACTGCAACTTCTACATATACAGAGATGACATCGCACATGACCACACATCACAACCATGGTGTCTAAATCGCGCACAGTTCTATCTTTCCACCCACGCACACCCACCCACCTGCCTCAGTTATCTATCGGATATCTATGTATCTTTCCACCTATCTACCAGTCCCAACCTACCAGTACCTATCCACCGACCGACCGACCGACCGACCGACCGACCGACCGACCTACCTACCTACCTACCTACCTACCTATCTCCGTCTCTTTCGATCTCCATCTCTATCTATGCATGTTTTTGTATCTATCTACCTGTCTATCTATCTATCTATCTACCTGAGAATCTACCTATTTATCTACCTATCTATCTACCTATCTATGTACCTATCTATCTCTATCTCCATCTCTCTATATCTATCTATAGCAACCAACCTACCTACTGCTAGCTAACTGAATATCTGTCGATCTATGTGTCTGTCTATCTATGTGTCTCTGGACCATCTGCATGTATCGATATCTATCTACATCTACCTGTCTATCTTTCTATCTGTCGTTCTACCGATTGATCTATCCATCTACCATCAATCCATCTATCTCCTATCTAGCTATCTACCCACCTAGCCTGCTATCTGTTTAACTATCTATCTACCTATCTACCTATCTATCTATCCGTCTATCTATCTGTTTATCTGTCTATCTAAGTATCTATCTATCTATCTATCTGTCTATCTATCTATCTGTCTGTCTATCTGTCTATCTGTCTATCTGTATCGTTACGCATATCCATGTCTCTCTTAACTAACGAACTAAGGAAAAACGAACGAACGAACGACGGACTGACTGACTGACTCAGGGACTGACGACTTACTAACCACAAGTACCTACCTACCTACCTACCTACCTCCCTGCCTACCTCTCCCTCCCTCCCTACCTACCCACCTGCCTTCCTATCCCTACTTTACCTACCTACGACCCACCTACCTACCTACCTACCTACCTACCTACCTACTTACCTACCTACCTAACCAACTGCCGATATGTGCAAATCCATCTCTCTGTTTCTATCCATCCATCTACCCATCCGTCCGCCTATGTACCTTTCCAACCACACAGGTATGTGTAAATCCGTATGATAAGCAAAACAGGGAGAGGGAGCGAACAACTCACACCAGAGGTTCCACATCAAAGACCTGCAGGTTCTCTCCGAACGCGTACTGGAGGAATTGGACGAACTCGCGGATCGTTAGATCCTGAGCGATTCCGAACGTTAAGAGACCCCTGAACCGATCCGAGCGCTGAGATTTATTGTATTCTTTTTGAGAAGCGTCATCAAACGAAGCTGGCGTGCTGAATGCATCTCACACAAATCTCTCAAGGGATCATGGCCGCGAGGAGACACAGCCCAACAACGCTTTGATTGCTTTGATTGCCTGGCCCAGACATGCTATGTCTGAATAGGAAATCCACAGCTTCGGGGTTGGGGACTTTGTGGTGTCTCCGCACTACCCTGCCAGAACAGGAGATGCTCTGAACAAATCCGAAAAACTTGCCTGGTGTCTGAGGTGTCGGGGTGAGGAGGAACATCCAACCGAAGGAATTCCTGCATTCTGCAGAACATCGGAGCGAAAGTGCCCACTTGCTGACAAGGGGCAAATTCCCTCCAGAGCTGATCGAGCACCATCCACTCCTGTGGCGGAATGGGTTGCTGCCAATGTCTCTGTCCTACAGCTTGGCAACAGATACAGTGGCGAAGGGCATCATGGCATGCGTCGCTTGTTCAGAAATGCGTTTCTTTGCCAGATGAAACGGAGCATAGTTGTCAGAAATGCTGTATAGAAACTTAGGGCATGATTGCCAGGCACGATGGGTTGAAGCCGCTAACCACCTCTAACGAGTCGGAAACAAAGGTCAGGACACAGTTGCCCGGTCGGTTTCTGAGACTGGGCTTCACGACGTGCCGCAACTAAACGTCGTGACGAAGCCATGTCCGGCAAGATATTCTTCCAAAAGCGCAGGAGCCCTGTAAGGACCGCCGCCTGCATGGAAACGGTTCCCTCACCGCCGGGATCCAGGTAGCGGAAGACTTTCTCTATCCGTGCCTTGTCAGAGGATTTCACCGTTTTGGCTTCGCGGACTAGAGGCCTGTTCTAGCCTCCATGTGGAGCTGCAGCAGTTTGCAGAGAGGGCATGGTCTTTTCTTTTGGTTTGGAACCACATCAACCTCATACTCAGCCCCAGTGACAGCCTAGCCGGCGGCTCAGGTTCGTCAGATTTGCACTCCCGCTTCTGCCCATGCTCTTTGCGGGCAAACTGCGGACTCGTCCGGTCCCGCAAATTTCTGGCCTCGGATGCAGGAGGCCCCGCGCGCGCCAGGGAAGTTAAACGCGCGGCTAAGTTAAGAGGAAGTCCTGTCAACCTTACGCAGAGACTAGAATAGCGCCAAGACTGGGGGTTTGGGGACAGAAACCGGACCTGCATCAATGCTCCAGGTCTTTATGTTTCAGCCTCTCAACTACCAAACAGTAGCCGACAATCTCACGAGACATCCTCTGAATCGAGAATCGGCACCGGGGTAACTCAGGATCCTCTGGTACTCAAGCTCTTCAAAACCGAAGCCCATAAATTTTGAGCCTGGCTGGAAGACAAAAAACTCGAAAGGTCCACAGCTCTTAACCCGAAGCGCCCCGAAGCCTAGAAGGCGTGGAACCAGACTCTAAGAAAGGCCCGGGTCACAGCCCATGGACTTCAGGCCCATCTCGAGCTCCCGAAGTGTCAACCTTTGATTGGCAGCTTCTTGAGACCGAAGTGTTGGGGGGATGGGGGCTTCGTCTTGATCTTGCGGATGTGTAAAGGCGGTTCTTACGGAGTACTAGCTTCATGCTTGCACAGTTCAGCTGGTCCTCCCGCACTCGCAGCCAGTGCCGATCCCAAAACTCGTGATGAGCATGAGCAAGACTGCACTGTAGTAGTATTGACAGGCATGGGCATGCATTGCCAGTGCTGATGCTTGCGGCCGCGGAGCTCAGAGTTGGACACCGACCCGGGTTCGCCGCCGTCGATTGCATTGAAGGCGGCCTGCATACTGTCGACCTGGAAAATCTCCGACTTCGCTTCACTTTGGCGGATTACATCCGGCCCTCGTTGCTAGTACCCGAATACACTGGTACATGCTCCGGTGGTGGCAGAAGCAGCACCGCAGCAGCAGCATTTTCTCCTATCCACGACCGACAAGGGCAGAGTGTTGCCAAGTGAGGAGGCTAAGGCCCTGTCCCGGCTGATCAAGAACTCGAGGAGATCCAATACGTCCTTCCGGGGTACTGCGCAAATGGGGCCCGCCTTGCTGTCAAGCTCCTACATGCAAGAACTTGATGGACACAACATGCAAGGCAGGAGCATTGCATACTAGCACATGACACGGACGGGCCTCTGGTGGCTCGTTAAGCCCTGTCAGCCAGTTCATCTCCTGGGGCCCAAACAGCTCTGGCAGACTCTGCAACCCCATGGAAGACAAGCGGCCTTGCGAACATAACACACATCACACATGTCTCTAAGTGCATCGTGCCACGTATACTCATATATATATATATACACACACACATACAAATATAAACTTGTACATTAATGCCTCACGCTGACTCTTTCTATGCTTGGAACATGCCCTCGAAAGAACGTTCACAATGCACAAACATGTCCCGTTGCATATGCATGCATGCTGCGCGCATACCAGTAGCTATGTGAACGTGTATGTGTATATAGATATACATACATACAATGTATGTATGTATGTATGTATGTATATATGTATGTGCACATGTCCAAGCAGAGGTTTGGACAGCTACTCATCTAGATAAGCATATACCTACCTACCTACCTACCTACCTACCTACCTACCTACCTACCTACCTACCTACGTACCTACGTACCTACGTACGTACCTACCTACCTACCTACCTACCTACGTACATACGTACATATGTATACATATATACATATATACATATATATATATACATACATACATATATGTATACATGTACACATACAGACATGCCTATATATATATAATATACATATACACATACATCACCTGCATCTATATTCTATATCATACCTACAAGCAGGCATGTGAAATGTGCTTGAGATTTTTCGTATCTCCTGCTACATTGTACCTATGCTTCTGCATCCGCACCTAGCAGCACAATGTCTATGTCCGTGTTGCAGTCTCTGTCTGCCTCTACATACCTACCTGTGCCTACAAGACGTGGCGGCTGCGCTTCTTTGTGAAGCCTGCCACTCTTCCCCTGAAGCCAAAACCACAAGCTTGCCAATGCAAGCTGGGTGCTGACTCGCGGACGTCCCTCGGGTTGTAGCCGAACTTGGCCGCGAGGCTTCTCCGGTACTGGAAGTTCCGATCGTCCGCCGAACACACCTGGGCGCTGAGGTTGCGGAGGATGGGGCTTCGTGCAGAAGAAACTGGTATCAGGAATGATGCGTGCTGGCAAGGGTTGTGGCTGCCGCAATGCAATGGTATCTGCCGGGTTCATGTGGAATACAGAGCACATTGTAGAAGAATGCGAGATTGCCTGCTCTGCGAGACTCCAGCTCAGACCTTTCAGACCTGCTGGAGAGTCTCCCTGAACGGGTCTCAGAACAAGAGCTTGGACTTCTTGCCATGGGATGATTGTCACACGGAGATTAAAGACTGCCATTCTCGGATGCATGTGGATGGCAACGGCCAAAGTGCATGCACGGAAGGCTCCACAAAGGGACACTCCATCCTCCGTAAGCCTGACACCATCCCTCTGAACAGACATAGGCAAAGGCAAATCCAACAGCTCCCTCCTGGCAGACTTTGGGCGAGCGTCGTAGCGACAGTGGAAGCGGCCTCTCAAGCTTGAGCTCAGAAGCAGCTACACATAATCATCCATCATGGTGCTTCAAACCAACACCTGATGTGCCTCTGTTTGGCTGCATGACAATAGCTTCAGGGTTCAGGGTGCTGGTCCTAGTACACTCTCCTCGCATGCTGTGATCTGCTGAATCTGCTTCTCGGTCACTGATCACTGGCTTGTGCAGAGTCTACACACGAGCGGACATCAGCTACCAAACACCACATGCCACGTCTTATCCTGACCCGTATGCTGGGCTGACCCAAACACCCCGTCCTTAAATTCTACTATGTATAATGAGCACGCAAGCGACAAATCATCTTGACATATCGATCCGTCCAGATTAACCCAGCCATCCATCCATCCATCTTGCCGTTCGTCCGTCCGTGCATGCATGCGCACAAGAAGAACACTTCGCACCAGCAGAGAAAACCCCAAATCAAAAATCGCACCCTACTGCATGCCTTCAGTGGGAGATAACCCTTCCCAGCTGCGCGGAATGCCTCAAGAACATGTTCAGAGGGTCTTGCCGCTTTGATTGTTCAGGTCTGGGGCTTAGGCAGTAGCTTGCGATCCAAAGGTATCGTGAGGACTTGGCTGCCATGGTCTATATCCGCTTTGTGACAACCCGAGGTCAATCAAGACGTAATTGACTAAAGACAGGCATACGAAGGCCGCCAAACAAAGAGCGGTCCGCGAAGAAAATGGAAAGAACGTGCGGATTCATTCCAGAAGAACCTGGCAACGCCTTCAGGAATTTCGCTTACAATCCTCACGAAAAAAATGAAAATGTCACGTTCGATATTATAAACCTTCCAAATGCGAAGTGGTTGAGGCTTTGCAGACTCCAACGTCAACAAAAACTGCACAGCACTTGCATCTATAAAGGAATGTACTGCATGTGCGTGGGCGAGACATATATATATATATATACACACACACACATGTACGTACGGTTGTAAGTGTGTATGTATGTATTGTATTGTATTGTATTGTATTGTATTGTATTGTATTGTATTGTATGTATGTATGTATGTGTGCATGCATGCATGCATGTATGCATCTGCACATCTATATACAATACAAACACCCGCCCAGATTTTTGCAAGTCGAGAAATGTCTAAGAGAACGGGTACTAATAGCACACGACAACAAAACATCAGCCTACAGACATACATGCATACATATATATATATATACATACACACAATCACACACATCTATACATATATGTCTGTAAGTATGAATATACAGGCAAAAACAGATTAGACAAATATGTGCACTCAGAATGATTTTTAAGCAAGCAGACGTGCACTGTAAATGAGATAAGTGTGTATGTTTGCATGTATATGTATAAAACATACACAGACAGATACATGAATGTATGAATCAGCTACCACATCCACAGGCAACAATTAAGTGTGGAACAAACATACATCCATGCATCCATACATACATGCATACATGCGTGTGCAGACATATTCGTACTGTGTTGCATCGCCGTTTTGTTCTGGCCAAGAGTATATACAACCAGCTCATGCTCTGGTGCATGGTGCCAAAACATGGACTAGACATTACCTTAAATCCATGTTGCCTGCCTTGCGAATCCTGCTGCGGTTTCTGCATTTATCCCGTAATTAGCATCAGGCCTTCTGTGACAGGTGCTATGGTGCTTCGGGAAAATGGGCCTGGTAGTGCAGGTTATGCTACTGATACCAGCTTGGAGGAAGCACCCCCCGCAACCTTACATGACCGTGCGGCCCATCGGGAAATCGTCTTGACTCCCATCCGGCTTAATCCACACAGCGTCCCTGGTGCAGGGCGGGGTCGCAGCTTCGGATGTAGAGTAGAGTTCCCAAAAGGGGTCTGTGGGAGATTGGCAGACTGACGGCTTTGCACTGAACTTCCTTCAAAGCATGTCGCGAAGCATGAGTCGATTTTGCACCTAGTGTTTGCATGCGACGGAATCTTCACGCACGCATTTCAAACCCAGACAAGCTCTGAAATTTGGTAGTCCGGGTAGTCAAGAACCGAGCTTCTCTCCAGTGACACCTGAATATTGAGCCACCCTCCAAGTACAGAGAAACATGGACAGCAAGCAGTTTCCTGGCGCCTGATGTTGCCAAACTTCTCTCTTGCTGCGAGCCCAACCAGCATGTTCACACACCTGACGGATGGGTTCGAAACCGCACTTTCGAAATACAGCTTTTTTTTAGCCTTTTGAAAGACTCCTTTCCGTGACCCTGAAATTCAGGGCCTCCCTGCATAGACTGACGAGCACCAAGTAACTTGCTATGAGCCCTTGCCTGCTTTATAAGGATGCAAATGTGATGTTTAATTGTGCCTGAACCAGGCCATATAGCAAAGCCTGAAGCTTGGTTTTGGCAGACAGGCCAAGACACAATCGATGGTCGTGGAAGGTCAGGTCCTAGGCCGTGACCAGTGAGTGCTTCTGCGCAAGCATATAGGCCATAATTATCCGAGCCGCACTGCCAACATCAAGGGATGATACTTTTAGAGCCGGCAGCCACAGTTCTACGCTACGCTATGAGAGCATGCGGAGCAAATGTCTTCACTTCGCATACCGTCTCTCAGCATGAGTTCTGGGAACCGAAGCCATGTTCGTCTTGCTGAGTACCACTCCCCGCAACAACAACGACCATGATGTAGCAATGAAGCCGTAATAACGTATCGACGCAAATGGAGTACTTCGGCTGGAAGTGAAGTTGTAATTTCGTGAGCGTGCGACCTAAGACGGAATGCAGTCACGACATAAGGGGCGAACTCTGAACCCCGCTCGCTTCTGCACAGAGTCAAGTTCAAACTTGGCGTTCTCCGGCTGAAAGTAAGGGAAGAAGACGGCCTGTGGCATTTCGCGGGAAATCCCTCGAAGGCAACTTCACATGACCGAGAAAGCCGGTGAACGGCAAGGAAGCCGAGAACCCAAACATTCCCGATACATCGGCAAGAAAACATATCGAGTGCTCCAGGACTCCAGTCGAAAATCTAACGTCTTGTGAGCGAGCTCGGGGCGCGTGTGTCAGGTGTGTAAGTACAGTGTGCAACTGGGTGCCCATTGCCACAGCGCTGAAGAACAAATTCACGACCCTGCCCGATGCTTCGATGGGGAGCTTGCCCTCCCCCCTTCTGCGAAAACCGAACTGAAGCCACAATCTTTAACTGTCCCAGACGGATGACTCTGAGGGACCAGCCGTGAATCCGAAACCTGCATCCCAGAGCACCCCTGTCCGTCCTGCCCCAGGCGGTAGCGCAAGTTGTTAACCTCCTCATCCTAGCCACATGGCGGGTTTGTACTTAGCGAATCGCGCAAGCCCACGTTCTGATCAAGCGCGGCCTGTTGTGTCCGAGGCTGCTAGAAACGCCCAAAAACATGCAGAGCTGGCTAACTTCAGTGCTGGTGGAACTGTAATTACATGTTCTGATACATCCTCTCCCTTCCCACCTCGCCAAAGCGCACGCTGCACAACTTCAGATTGTGCATGTCGGTTATTCCTCACTTCTGAACTTCTAACAACTGCTCTGTCGACCAGATTTCAGTCTCACAGAACTCCGACACTCCACGCTGTCTCAATAGTTGCTGTTCCTGCATGTGCGGCGAAACTGCGAAATGCTCCTCGGCGGCATTTGTTTGAAGAAACTGAAATGCCTTCCGGGCCACGGCTGAAGAACATGACGAATGCCTCCTGGCGCTGTTCCGACTTATCGAAGTAGCCCATCATCTCCCGCATGTGCTTCGACTTGGCGGCGCGAGGGGGCTTTGGGGTTCAGCTTCTTGTGTGTGCGGGCGTAGCATGTCTTCTGACAGCTCAAAGAGCGAGAAGGTTCCAGTAGTTTCAGGGCGCTGCGACAGCCTCACAATAACAGGCTATAGAAAACCACCACAGGCTGCAGATTACAAGAAACCCTCTACATGTAACGAATCCTTTGCATCAGCGCGAATTCGCACTAGAACCAGTTCACTGCGCAAACGGCGATCGCACCACGTTAATCGTAATGGATATTGGGCAACATCTGATGCTCCGCTGGTCGGCAAATCAATCCAATGTGCGAACATTATGAAATCATGACTGACAACAGGTTGAGACTGCTATTGTAGCCGCAGATATGGAAATTATTTAAGTATGTATGCAGAAGGCAGGAATAGGAAGGATACGCAGAAACACAAAATGACTTACCAATGAACATACCGCGGCTAGAACAACACAACTGAGTACGGCGATTACGGGTGCTCAACTTATGCTACACCATTCAAAAGACTGTGACATGCTGCAGCAGCTGTTGTTGCTTTTGCTGTTGCCGTCATATTTCCTTCCGGGCCACGGTGATGAATATGTTGTGGGAAATGGACCGCAGAACCTTCATCTTGTCCTGCAGGCGTTCACGAGTACTTGCAACCTTGCAGATCCCGGTAGACCGGTAGACCTCGCAAAAAGCTTTGCAGACATGGTGTGGACACCGCCTACTGAGTAGTTTTTTTCCAGACCGAGCTTTCCGATAAGCCATGCGGATACGTGGCAGGTCCAAAGGGTTGCGGACTTTCCCGATCGGGAGCAAGGAAACCTTGCAGTTCTCCGAATTAGCAGAAACGGCGGGACGAACGCCCTGGAGACCTCACGTTTCGGGGATCCAAACAGAGTTCCTCATCAGAACTTGCAAAATGCCACTGGGTCGATGCTTGACGTCTCCTCGGCGCTGCACTCCGACTTGTACATGGAGACCTTGAAGCTTGGAGCCGTGTCATGGGACGGTTGGAAGTCTTATCTAAGACTCGAAGGATTGCATTGCAAGCTGTATTGGATTTCAGGGCTTGAATTTTGTCCGAGACGACGCAGCACTCAACCAAGATGAGCCAAGAACAGTACACGACACGACTAAAGACGTAATGATAATGTAGAAGCGATGCATGTAGCACAACACCCCTTTGCAGAACAAAGTTTGCTGTCTGACATTCTAATTACCGTAATACGGCAATACGGTAAATCCCGATCCTCGCCGCGGCGTCAAGCCTCTTTTCTCCCAAACAACCGAGGTCGAAGCCATGAGCTGCTTCCACAAGCCATCGGTTAGTGCTTGCGCCTCCAGTCTTTCAAAAAGGTATTGTTCGGGGCTTACAGAGGAGTCTGCCTCAGGAGCGTTTCACACTTCGAAGGCTTCTGGGCGAGGTTTTCGGGATTCGTGCCTTTGCGGGTTAGGATCTGCACAGTGAAGCGAAATGGCACATGCGGAAGCACCTTCAAGCGCCAGAACAGTGGCTAGAAGAACTAGGCAGCGGCAGACTCCCGAGTGCCTCCACGGGCGGTCTCGCGCTGGTGACATAGTCGAGCTCAAAGGCATCTGCCTGCTTTGGTTTTGCGTGGCTTCTTGCAAAGCAGAACCGCATGCTCAAGTCAAGCTCAAAGCTGAAAGTGGCTCAACAGAGTTTGCTGCGAAACCAATTCACCAGCTACAGACTCCCTCCTTTCCGCCTGCACCTGTATCCCCAACATGTGGCCCGTTGCCCTGAAACAAGCACTTGAGGCTCACTGCAGGCGGGGTTAGAGGACACACGAGGTGAGCGACAAAGGCTGGTTGCGTCTAATCCCTCTGATGCTTCCGCAACACCATGTGTCAACACCGGACATACTGCAAGCTACAACAGAGGATCCAATGGCGCCAATCTAAAGTTGCTTCCAATACCTGTATGTGTGTGTATGTATGTTTATGCATAAGTATAAGTATATTTATGTCACTGCAGTATCTATATATATATATATACATACACATATGTATATACATACATACATACGCACACAATCTGTGTCATATATACGCACACAACTGTGTATGTGTTAATACATGTGGGGACACTGCAGGCGGACACCCAGGAGCAGTCGAACTGAGAGTGCTGCTCAGCTCTGCAATCCAGTTGGTTCAGCGATCGACTAGAAAACCATAGAAAACCAAATGCTCAGAGTCGAGTTTTAAGATTCTGGGATGTGCCGTGCACCCAGGCACAGTGAGGGTTCACACGTGGACAGGTTTGACATTTCAGAACATGAGCGAAACGTACGATGAGAACCTGTGTGTTTCCGCACACATTTGAGCTACGGCTGCCCAACGACTTTCCTTCCTCCCCGAACGAAGAACAACCCAAAGTTAAATCCAAGCCTAAACTGAATGCTGTCGTGGCCTCTGGCAAGCTCCACTCTGCGACCGAGCCCGTCGTGAGCGACAGCTGCTTGCCGCCATGGAGCTCATTCCGCACATGCGACCGGTTCCTAAGCTGAAGGTACTTACGGTAGAAGCCGGAGAAAGGTGGAATATCAGTATCCTCATGCCCTAGAAAAGCAAAACATAGGAACGCCTGCACTAATCATCCTAAACCCACGTTCCAACTTTCTGCGGTTCAATATAAGGTCAATGGGCAGCTTTTGGGATTTCACTCAGGACTTCGCGCGAGCGAGGGCAACCATATCGCTGTCAATGTTATTTCTGAAAACACTACTGGGTGAAACAGGCACCATCATGACTGTATACACCCGCACCCTTCAGCACCACCATAACCATCATCAGTGCATTTAGTTATAATCAAACTAGTGCTTTACATCGCGATCTTCACCAGCATCGTAGATCATGAGCCACACAGTCAAAGTCTTCCTGGTGTGCGCCAACATCGACGCGGATGCAATATGCGACCATGCAGCGCCCGAGAAGAGACGTCACAGCGGCCGTGACGTTTGTTGACGACCTCACCAATCACATGTCACATCGCATTTCGGCGATGCTCGCACCCTACACACCCTTCTGCCTCTCTGCCTCTCGGTCTGTCCGTCTGTCCGTCTGTCTGTTTGTCTGTCCGTCCGACGGTCTGTGTCCGTGTGTGTCTGTCTGTATCTGCCTGTGTCTTTCGGCATCTCTGTCAGCCTCCCTGCATGTGTGCCCGTATGCATGATTGTATGTGCATATTCTGTATGCATGTATGTATTCATGTTGAGATGTATCTAAGCGTGTGCGTATATACGTACGTAGGGTATGTATGTATGTATGCATGCATGTATGTATGTAGGCATGTGTGTATGTATGTATGCATGCATGTATGTATGTATGTAGGCAGGTATGTGCATATTATGAATGTGTATGTATATATGTTTAGTTACGTACGTACGCATGTAGGTATGTACACACCACGGCCGTTTAGATATAACAGGGTTGTAGTCGGATTCTGAACAAGTTACACGTGGGCTAAATTGGTTGTAAATAAGTCATAAGTGGCACCGGCTTTTGTATGACTTGGGTCTGACATGTATTCTATTTGCGCTTTTGTGCGTTGGACTTAAGTTGGACATAAGTTGGACCTACGCTGGACTTGTGAAATACAGAGTTTACATCTTTTCATGTTCGAAAATGCGCACATGGGCTGCTATATACGCGTGCTCGCAGGTTTTGATCTCGGAACAAACGCCTGTACAGTTTTCTTGCACTTTTGTTCACTGGTGGGTTCACAGCGATCTGCGCTGGTTTCTCTTCGCGCGACGTGTTGTGAATGACACTGGTGGGTGCGCAGCGATTTGTGGTAGTCTCTCTTCCACGGAACTGCTGTATATGATTCCGACTTCAGCTCGAGCGAAAATGCGGCGGTCGCGGCGAATGCTGGATGAGCAATTCGGTAGTGTCGCAATGTTCGCGCGGCTTTGCAATGCAGGCCTCCCCGAGACACATCGCGATGTCGGCGTGATGTACGTGCAGTCATGAAGGCTTTTAAGTGCATAGCTGGATACCAGGTTCGATGCGTGGTCGGGGATGTCGGCGCAGTGTCCGTTTGTCCAAACAGCAGAAAGGAAGCCTTTGCAAATGCCTGCTGCCAGGGCTAGCTCGGATTCTTTGCTGTTGCATGTGCCTCCTCTTAGTTTGCAAGCTTGAGCTGTTTTGCTGCCTCTGCTCGCGCCTTCGTCGTTCACCGTCTGTTTTCCTTACTGTTCAGCCTGGCTCAAGCTGCGTTCGTCTGTCGCGGCTCTCGAGCTCTTGTCTTGGCTCGCCATGGCCCGTGTCTCTTCTGCGCAGGAAACCGGTCGCTTAGGCCGAATTGTTGCATTGTAAATCATCGAAAAGTGCAAGGTTCTACGTAGGTTGGACTTATAAATCATTTACGATCCACTTATAAATCACATCTGTAAGTGCAACGCAAATCACTTATAACTGGTTTATAACCAAAGCACCGTGGTGGTATGTATGTATGTATGTATGTATGAATGAATGAATGAATGAATGAATGAATGAATGAATGAATGAGTGCATGTAATGTATGTAATGTATGTAATGTATGTAATGTTTGCAATGTATGTACTGTATGTATGTATATATGTATGTTTATGTCAATATGTACGTAGGTATCTACATGGTTTGTAAGTAAGTAGGTATGCCTGCCTACTTTGCATGTATGCAGGCATGTATGTAGGATGTATAGGTATAATAATGTGGATATGCAGGTTGTAGGTGTGCACGTATGGACGTATGTATGTGTGCGTATGAATGGCTGGACGGATGGTGTGTATGCACGTACGCATGTAGGTATGTAATCCCTTCCCCCTAACATTCAATACCCTTCCCGCCCTTCAAAAAAAGAATGCTTTCGGGTCCGGCATTCTTTGCATTAGGGGCGGTTTCGGATTCGGCCGAAATGCTGATCTCCACATGAAGACGATTCGGTAGTAGCAGTCGTCGTTGTGGTGGTGGTGGCGGTACGAAGTAG